TGATATTAAATGAAAGCCCTGCTTCCCCTGAATAAAATGATATATAATAAGGGTGGGTGCATTTACTATGAAAGAGGTGTATTACGGTTGGACAGACATGTAGCGCAAATGCCAGGTTTTGTTTACATTTTGTTTTGTTCACAATGTGTACATTTGGCTCCGTCCTTAAGGGGTTAAACCTCTCTTTACCTACAAGGCGTGGGAGAGGGGGAGGGGATTTACAAAAATCACAACCAATCAACACTTGTGTTACCAAGAGACTCTAAATGCTAATGGCCATAAACAGAATTAACCAACCAACATCAAAATGATAGGTAGGCATATTCAGGGTTTAAAATGGACTCTCTAGGGTTATGAGACTCCACGTTTGGCACGGTTTTCAGCTTACAATTTGCAATTTCATTGTCCTGTTCTGACAATGCTACCGTTAGTGCATAACCCTGTGACTTTTTCAGGGTTATTCACTAAACACTGGGAGATTATAGATTTCCTTCCTCATTCACTAAAATCAAATGTGTTTGGAATTTGGTCATTCATACAAAGTACATTGTCTATAAAAGACAATGATAATACATTTAAAAATATATATTGTTTTAAATATATATATATATTTTTTTTCTTTCCAGATTTAGCACTAAAATTAAAAAGTGTTTGCTAAAAATATTTAAATCTTAAATTGATTCCAATAGGTATGAATATCCAAACAGTTGAAGGTAACTGAGATTATGCAGCACAATCTCAGAACTAAAATGGTTGAGTCAGTGAAACTGGATAAACCTCTCTTTACCTACAAGGCCTGGGGATGGGGGAGGTGAAAATTACAAAAATAACAACTGATACTTTTGTTACCATGAGACCTAATGCTTATTCCATAAACCAAAATCACAGTGATAGGAAGGCATATTCAGCCTCACTATGGCATTGAAATTGATTAAATATTATATATATATATATATATATATATATATTTTTTTTTTTTTTAATATAATGTTAAACAAACATCTGCACACCAGTCAAGCTATAAGACTTGCTTAACTGCGGTGCATTTTTTTTTAACATTGTAAAATATATAATATATATATATATATATATATTTATTTTTTTTTTATTTTTTTTTTGACAGTCACGCTTTTCAAGCTTTCCTTTTTTAATCAGATCTGACATTCTTGGATTTCCTGTAACAAATTATTCAAAGGCACCACAAAGGAAATCTAATGATCAAGGTAGTCAATTCAGAACTTTTCATGTACAGACCATCAGCTGATAATGATGTCTAGGAGAATATGGTGGATCTGGTAACATGTTCCAAGTGAAATGTGAAAATAAAGGTCTCCCTCTAATAAACAAAATATGTTGTATCTACAATAATATTCTGTGTCCTACCTAAAGATAAATAATCTTAAGCAATACCCTCACCAATATACACCTCTTTTTTAAAGGCAGACCATACTTACCCAACTGTTTCAGAGACTTTGTTCAACTTTGAGTTCTTCCAGCAACTGTTTATTGGAATGATTCAATCCCACCCTTTGCTCTGCTTTTTTCAAACTGGACTGACTAATCCTTTGGAGATGGTATTGTTTAACAGACTCAAGGAGGAGTCTTCTTGTGGTGGGGGAGGCCAGGTTGCCATGGGAATTAATGCTTGGGGGAGGTGATATACCCACTAAGCATTTGAAAAGTTAAGAAAACAGTAATACATTTGCCCTTGTAATTTGCACTAGTAGATTGCCAATAACAGTATGCTATTTTTGTAAAATGAATACATCCTTCATTTCCTCCACCCCCATTTACAAATGCACCTGTATTACCCAGTATGTTGACCTGGTTGCCCATTTTATTGTACAATGACATCTCAGGGGTTTATTCAATACACTACGAATTATTCTACATTGAAATCAGAATTGCAAAATAGATAAAAAAAAAAAAAAGTCAAAAAATCTGCATTGCAAAGTTTTGTAAATTACAGAATTTCATCAAAAATTACTATAAAAAGGTACTTAATAAATTGCAAATATTGAGATAAACCTAAAGTTTCCTAATCACCTTTAATGTCTGGAGGAAGGGGGCCTCTAAGGTGGCTTGCCAGTGATGCAAGTGTATTATTGATGACCACCAAGGATTCAGCCTGTTTGAAAATGGGGAATATCAGTCTGACATGAAGGCGGTCCGACAATAGCGCTGGTCTGCCCCGCTGATGGCTGCTTATGCGTAGAGTGCTGTTAAAATGCTCTGCATATAGACTTGCAGTTTGCACAGCATGGTTGCTTCTAATGATGTGCTTGTTCTGTGCCTTATGTGTACACAGAGGATATATATAAAACTAGTTTTCAATTTTATGCCACAGTTCTTTGAGCACGTCAACTTCTTATGTATAAAACCCATTATCACACTTTCCAAATTTTGCTTTTTCTCCCCAGTTCAACCACACTATGGAGTACTAAAATAATGGAGTAAACAAACACCTAATTTGTATACAGGAAAACATTTCTGTCCCACAAAAAGTTGTAAAAATTATAATATTGGTAAATGCGCAAACAGCAAAAAAAAGACAAAAAAAAAACATTTTTTATACTACTTAGTCTCTGCTGATCTAATGCGGGACGGTGAGAATGGATCCCGAATATTAAAATTTACAATTTAATTGTCCTTTTCTGACAATCCTATTTTAGTGGATAACCCTGTGACTTTTTCAGGGTTATTCACTAAACACTCAGAACTAAAATGGTTGAGTCAGTGGATTTGGATAAACCTCTCTTTACCTACAAGGCCTGGGAGAGGGAGGAGGGAAAATTACAAAATTAACCAACCAACACTTGTGTTACCAAGAGACTAAATGCTAACGGCTATTAACAGAATTAAACAACCAACATTAAAATGATAGGTAGGCATATTCAGTCTTTAAAATGGACTCTCTATGGATATGAAATATAGAGAAATGCATTAAAAACTACACTGATGTAATATTAAAAAAAAATTATAATAGCAATATATTATGTATATATAGTTCCGGGAAGTCACACTTTTAAAGCTTTTCTGTGGATCAGATCTGTCATTCTTGGATGTATATCACATTGTTATACTGATGGGCAACACGTGCAAAACTATATCCCATAGCATAAAGAAGTTCTAGGCACCAGAAAGGAAAACTAATGATCAAGTTAGTCAATTCAGAATTCATTTTTTATTAATAAAATGATTTCCTTTAATGCAACATATGAATAATACATACTGCAAGGCAGAAGTTTTCGTGTACAGCCCATCAGCTGATGTCCAGGATAATATGGTGGATCTGGTAACCCATGTTCTAAATGTGAAAATGAATGTCCCCCAATAATAAACCAATACATTAGTCTGTATCTATAATATTCCATGTTCAAGATCTAAAGACAAATAGTCTTGAACAATTCCTTCGCCAATATACACCACTTTTTAATAGCAGACTACACTCACCCAACTACTTCAGTGACTTTGTTCAACTTTGAGTTTTTCCAGTTGTTTGTTGGAATCTCACCCTTTGCTCTGCTTTCTCTAAACTAGACTTACAAACCTTTTGAGATGGCATTGTTTTACAGACTCAAGGAGGAGTCTTCTTGTGGTGGGGGAAGCCAAGTTGTCAAGGGAATTAATGCCTGGGGGATGTGATACACCCACTAAGCATTTGAAAGGTTAAGAAAACAGAGTAATACATTAGCTCTTGTAAATTGTCAATATAACAGTATACTATTTTTGTAAATCCTTAATTTTTCACAAATGCACATGTATTACCCAGTAAGTTGGCCTTACTGATTGCCTATTTAACTGTACAATAACAACATTTTGCAGATTTATTCATTAAACTTTGAATTAATGCCACCTTGTATATTTGATTTGATTGCCACATATTGTTAAAATGTATTGGTATCAGATATTGTAATTTTATATACAAGTGGCTATTTAACATCCCCCTGGTTTATTTAAAGGTTTTAACTTTGTATATTCAATTATGATTATTTTTATAACTTTTGATTGTTTATCCCTTGGATAACAAGCATACTCACACCACAATACTCAGCCAGACAGGGTGAAACCACTACAATGAAATGTATTTGCAAATAGGGGAACGAGCAGCAGGAGTATTTTTTTTTTTTTTTTTTTATTTAACAGTTTTTTTCCCCCAATCCTGAAGGAGAGTCACTAATGCTACAGGCCGATTGTGTGGGAAACCTTTGCTCTTCTTGGGATGGAATTGATATCCACTCACTTTTTCCTGAAAAAAAAAAAAAAATAATGACTGTTGACATATCTCTTTTCTCTTGCACCTGCCTCAAGAGTTAGCCAGGTTTTATACTCAAGTTGAAATGCCTGGCAATACTCCTACAACGATTAAATATGGTTGCCCCCTTTGAATGGCAAAAGCCACTACAAGATGAAAGGTGTGTGCAGAACAGGGCACACTTACAAAAGAACCATCTTCTGGAACTTTAATCAGGTTAACAGTGACCATGAACCCAACGAGAACATTGATTCAACCAATTTGTCATCATTCATCTGATTGCCTGTAAGATTTTTGAAGTGTTATTTTGATCTATCGATTCAGCATGTAGCAGGGAAGACCAACAGTCTTGCTGCCATACAGATCCACTCCCATCCTGTCATGCTGCTAAAGTTGAACCTCCACTACCACCACCATATCTGCGCACCATTGGCTGCCATCAGTGTACTGTCATGGAGAAAAAGGCCTACTGACCAGGAGGTGCACTACATAATCCTGTGGTAAAGTACTCTGACTGACAAACAGCCTTAGCCAGCTATTATACTACCATGCAGAAGCTGTACAGAAATGGGACTATGTTTCTGATGGAAGTGGATTGCAAAGGAATGACATTGTTGAGCAGTGGCCTGTATTAGCTGTTAAAGTACTCCCCTTCTATCAATGAATTCCAACAAAATGTTAAAAAGGGGTCTGGTGAACACATCTCTCAAATATGGAGTTTGACTGTTCCTGTCCAGCCTACCGCTGTAGATTACTGGCACTATCCTCAACATTCCAGAATCCTGCCACACAATTCTTGGAGACACTGAAAGTGATCAAGAACCTTGCTTACAGCTGCTGAATATGCATGTGGATTATCATTGGTGGCAGTGGCAGTGGAAGTTGTCACAACACAAGCATGTTAACTAATACTAATGGAAAGGGTGGTGATGATAACGACAGTGGTGAGCTACATGTGGCAGTGGTAACAAATGAAGTTGCAATTGTCTCCACTGGAGATTCCAAAGCACATTGACTTTGACAAGGTGGAGAAGATACAGGATGAGAGAGCACACCAGTTGGAGACTCTCTGCACATCATATTTGGGGGAAATTGCAAAGACCAAGTGACCTAGAGTACAATGAACTAGCCTTGCTCTGGAAGAGCCAACCAAGGCAGATAGAGAAAAGGGTAGTCCGACAGGCTGGTAGAACATTAACAAGGAGGACACGAAGCAGCCTGGGCAGCACCAGAAGCAGGATACAGAGATTTCCAGCAGCCCATGTGGACTCAGACTCAAGCCTGCAGCATGAGTGGCATCGCAATGTGAAAGGAATACAATAGCCACCCAGGCTGGCAGAATCAACAGCAGCCGAAACACTGAGGGAATGGTGAGTGAGCCTGGGTCTAACCATGTGGCCATATGGGAAGCCCCTGCACAGCCATCTTTGGTATCTGGGGAAAAAAAATTGCATCCAAAAAAAGAAGACCAACAGGTAGACCCAGAAGTAGCTGCAGCTGCCTGCACTAAAGCTGCCATAGCATTTACGGCAAAGAGGGGGAGACCGAAAGAAATCCGCCTTCAGCTGATGATCTCCAGGGGAACTACGGTTAGTGCAGAGATAACTGGAGGCTTAAGGGGGTGCAGGAGAGTTGAGGTCAGTAGTAGAAAAAGTATAGTTAGAATAATTCGATACAAGGAGTAGATAAAGGAGAGGGTAGATTAGATAAGTGGGAGAAGGAGATTAAATAGACGTAGGATCGAAGACAGACATAGAGGAAGATGATAGAAGAGGGGAATGAATTTAAACAGGAGCAGAAGGGAGAGAGGAGACAGATACAAGATGAACAGAAATAGTGGAGATAGGGACAGCAAATAGGTTAGAGAGAGGTGTGAATGGATAGACATCAATCCTCTTTTTCCATTCCAGAGCAACAAGGAAGAAAAGAAGAGGAGTCCTTGAGGGCAACCTGTTCACCGAGCTCGATTCATGCTGGAAACCTACATAGAGTATCAGGAGACAGATGAAATTACAAGCTAGAAGTGTCCTAAGGTAAGAGAAATCCCACCCCCCTTGGCTGCTATGCAAGTATTTAGTATACTTTCCTCCAAGGCGACACCCCCTTAATACATTACTTGCCCACTTAGGGGGCCCTTCACTTCCATAACCTGTGCAGCCTTCTGTAGTGCTTATGGAGCCAGAAATGTGCATCCTCACATTTTAAGTAAACCGTTTTGAGACAGTTTGACGTCATGCCTGGAGTCCACACCACCTTTCTGCAGCTGCTTTGCAGAACCAGCTCTTTGACTGAGAACTTCAGCTTATCACTCTCAGCCAATGAACTAAGCCCTGCACTGCTGGGCTTAGCTCACACTACTTATATTGGACAGGCACCAGACAGGCCTGGACTTGCTATTGGGCAAACGCTTGATGGGCTGCAATGGCCAAGGCCGACAGGGAGATCAAGGGATCTCCCTGGTTGGCTCCTTTAGGGCTGATGCTGCCTTACCTCCGGCCCATGGAGGGAGCTCTGTGGCCCTTCCTTCATGGTCAGTGAGGAGATGAAAGATCTCCCTCACCAGCCTGCACACACATGCTCCAGCACAGCGTGGGCCCAGTGCACATGGTCTACACCTAGCAGGGGCTCCCCGAAGGCTGTAGTGGAGGACAAGAGCAGCCCCTGGCAGACCACAGGCAAGAAGTTAAACCATTCTAAAACAGTTTGCCTACTTACACTGGGGGGTGAGGGGGGGGACGCTGTAGTGGTTATGATGGCAGGAGTGACCTGGTGCCCTTCTAATATAAATAGTGAAGCCATATGCCAATGGTATGACACCTTATCTGAGGTATGCCGCACAAAGATCACCACTGAGAGATGGAAGCTCCTGCATGGAGCTTCCGTCAGTTCTCCCCTAAGCTAAGCCCTGCTATTTTATTGGCTGAGAGAGTCCCCTAATCATTTTCAGATCATAAGTCTTGCTCTATTGGGTTAGCTTAGAGCAGGTGACTGGCCCACTCCAGGTAAGTTGTCTAAACAATAGCAACCAGTTTGATTACTTACATTGGGAGGGGCACTCCTGTCACTATAACCACTATAGTGCACTGTAGCAATGATGGTGCTTGGAATATTCCTTTAAATGCAATGCTTTACAATTATTCAAAAAGTGGTAGAAAAGAAGGATTGTATTAACCCCTTAAGGACAGAGCTTCAGAAGCTTGTCTTGCACTTAATGACAACAGCATTTTTTGCTGTTTACATTCAACTGCAATTTGCATTTTACTAATTTATTGCACCGACACATATTATATAACGTTTTCTAAAGGACAGAAAGGGCTTTAATTTGATGTAACACATACATATATATATATATATATATATATATATATATATATATATATATTATAAAAACATATACACACACACCCCCCCCTATTTATTATTAAAAAAATACAGAAAAATGCAAAAAATAAAATAAACATTTGGTGTTTTTTTTTTTACAGTTTTTGCAATAATGTGTGCATAATTAGTGCAGGTTAAAGAAAGTAATTAAAAATAAATTCATTTAGTTGTTCTGATTTACAGAATATATAATGTGGCTGGGATATTAAAATTTTTTTGGTAGTTACAGGTCACAAAGCACAAGGAGTAAAATAAACTTAATTTGGAGCGATATTAGAATTTGGTATGTTTGTCTTGTAAGCTTAATAGCCATAACAGAAAACAAAATTGCCACACAAAAGTATATATTTATATAAAGTAGACATCACAGGCTATTGTCCTACGGTTGTTTTGACACTTTCTACGTAGTCATTTCACTGCCAATCTCTGCTAAATATTGGAGTAAAATTGTTATAAGTTTGTGTGCCAAAAAACAAAAAAACACAAAGAACTTCTCATGTGTATTTTGTAAAGTTGGTGTGTGCTATTCCTGTACAAAACTTCATTTTGTGTTTAGCTGCATCTACTGAGTACAACAATACCCCCACTGTATGTCTTTTGCACTATACCGTGAAGCTACAGTGCCATATAGGAGACCTGTCCTTTTCAGTATTTACAGTAGAATTTTGAAAGATGGATTTAATGGGCCTATGCTTCAATTTGGGATAGTATAGCAGTTTGACTGTTCAAAAAAAAACGAAACACAAAAGGCCTACCATTTCTAAAAGACACTCCAAGGTATCTCATATGGTGCATATTGTGCCTTAACATGCCCCCATTTTTTCACCAATATATGCCAAAGTATGTGTAAAAAAATAATTTGGGGCATTTTTTTTTTATTTTTTTTACCTACGCATTACATTTTTGCTGGGCATTTTGTATATTTCATATGTGCCACTAAGTTCAAACCCTGCAAATTATGAGTAAAACAATATGCCCAATGTATGAACTAGACACTATTTTGTGAAGTTACAGCAGTGCTGTAAAAGAGACGTGACAAGCAGAGAGATCCTTTTTCTTCCCCATATTGCATGAAAATGGTGCTCTGCTTAATTATGTGGAACGCCCCCCTTTAGTAGTTTTTCCTTAAGTTGGGCTCACCTGGCAATCTAATTATCACAGGTGTCAGAGATTGTTTTCAGTGATCAAAAGAGCCCTGAGACACAATGCAATCCACGAGTTAAACTGGAAAAAAAACAAACACTTGTGACACTTAATAGAATTTGCATAATAATTTCGAACAGGGTGTAGATAAAAAAAAGGTTTTAACTCAGGACCAAATGCTGAAAAACAGAATAAGAAATATATATACATGTTTTATGGTAGATTAAATATAGTGTCATGACTGCTGACCCATATTCCATCCCCACCGTTGCCCCCAAATAATACACTGGACACCTTTTAGTGGATAAGGGCAACGGCCACAGCTTTATTAAACAGTAAACTTAATTGTTAATTCCTGCCAGCTGTTGGGTGAGGACCCAACAGGCAGTTCTCCTCCTTTGTTGTCCATGAGCCCAACACAGCCGTCGCTAGCCATCAGCCTTGCGCCGACTGTCGTCTCCCCAATGTGACCTTGCGTCATAGTCCTTTCCTTTTCGATTCCGCTGTCCAGGGAAAACCGCCACCGCGAAGCCGACCTGCCACCGCCTGACCTGCACCGGCTTCGCGCCCCCCCGCAGACAGCGCCATCTCAATGCCCGACTGCAGCCCCACATTAAAAATGTCCAGCCCAATGGGATTCAAATGAACCCCATCCGGACGCATCACATCTGAATTATTCCCCTCCAACTCAAAGTGCCGTACCACTATTCCGCCCAAACTACGCACAAAGCGCGAAATAGCAACATTAATCTTGCGCCTACAACGTTCAAACGCCTTCCCATAACCACCCACTTGCCACACTGGACGGGGGACTATCTCTGACCAAATCAACGTCAAGTCACGAAAAAGCGCAAAACAGTGCGCTAAATCGTGCCGCATGTCGTGAATGAGATCCACCGACCGCCGTCGGCCAACATCATTCCCGCCTGCGTGCAATATCAGCGTCACGGGGCCGTGACGCAGCGACTCAGCTGCTCGCACTCGCCGTACACTTGATCCCAACGTAACCCCCTCAATCCCCGCCAACGTACCCTAACGTCCTGAAACGGGAACCCCAAATTCCGGCCATGAGATCTTGCTTCCGCCCTCCTAGCTGCCCAGTAAATATAAGAATGCCCCAGAATCCAGACATAACGAGGAACTTGGCCTACAAAACAAGGAATAACGGTTAGACTTAATTGTTTACAGAGGCATACCATCACAGCAAATGAGGGCGCACGTAAAGCTGAAATCGCCCCGACTCCCAGCGCCCCAGGCGCATAAGCGCCTCCTTCGGAAAACCCAGTTCGCTCGCCTGTGTTGCCACTCCAATTCTAAATGAATGCGTGGAGTATAACCTGGGGTCCCCTCCCAATCTAACAATACAACTCCGCAAGAGGCTCGCAAATTGAAAGCGGCTCAGGGAGGCCCCATTAGAATGGACCAGCAGCGAACCTTC